ATATAGGGTTTGCAGCCTAATGAACATTGCTTCTTAACGTTCCATGAGCGCTGTGGCTTTCAAAGAATTTGTACTGTTCATGCTGCAGCAGTTTGTTTATTCTGACTCTGCAAGGCTCCCACTAGTGGCCTGGTGCCTCTTGGGCAGGAGCTCCAGGCCTTACAGATTTAGTTGTTTGCGCATCTCTGCCCGTGAAGCCTACTGGTCAGAATAGGTCAGATCAGATCAGATAAGATCTTTCCTGGTAGCCATACTCCGAAGCGTCCCGGGCACGCAGCGAGCAGGGCAGCATGGGAAGCATTTGCGATGTTCCCAGCGGCATGTTTGGTCCCTCTGAGTCATGCGCGAAAACACACGAATGAAGGGGGTCAGCGGCATAGGTTCAGATAATCAGCTGGCATGACAGTGGGCAGACGTTGTCTGCTGCCAGGTGCACATTCGGAATCCCGACACTCCGCACGACCAGGCACCACCTGCGGCACGGCTTATTTTTCATAATTGCAGTCCACAGCGCTTGCGCTTTGCGCTGCTCCAGACGATTGCTTTCGGCTCCCTGCGCATGTGTTTAGATACAGGATGGATCATATCACAGCAGTCAGGACAGGGTAGTTCAGGTCAGGTCAGTTCGGACCACATAAGGTCAGATCAGATTGGATGAGATTAGATGTCAGGTGAGGCCGGCTTACCTGTCATTAACGCAGTGTGTTTAGTGTAGTTTCCATGTCAGGCTCTAGTGCCTCGTGTGGTCTGGCAGTGTCTCATGCCCAAAGTGCACGAATGGGAGCGGAAGGACAGCAAAACTTTTCCTCTGGCTTTGCACGCAATTTCGCACGATGATTTGAAATCAAACATACAATCCTGGTTGCAAGCTGTGGAGTCGGAGAAGGTGCGCGTGACCAAAGTTAGCGTCACCGGCCCAAAAGGCCTCCCTCCTCGCTGGGCCAATGCGTGGGCTCGTTGCAGCTGTGCTAAGGCCTGCAAGAAAACATTCCGTGTTGACATGGAAGCCGAAGGAGAGGGGAGCTTCTGTGCAACTTGGTTCCAGCAGGGGCAACATCCTGAACCTGCCGAGCAACCTGAGGCGCAAGTTCGACGGAAGCGAGCGCAGTCAGTTGCGCACATGCGGCCCATGCAGGGCCAGGCGCACTTGCTAGGGGACGAGACCGTGCCCCAGCCAAGTCAGAAGGAGGTCAGAAAAGCTCGGCGCGAGTTTCTGGACCAGCAGCGCCCGTCCAAGCGGCAACGCCAGGATGATGGCGTCGAGGCATGGACAGCCTATCTCCAGCAACAAGCAGGTCTGCAGAAGTTGCCGCACCAATTGGTTTACACGCCGGTGCGCATGATCACTGATGAAAGTGTTCTCCAATCCCTCATCATTGGAGAGGACGTCGTCGTTCCCGAAGGAGCGTGCTTGCTCGTGTCGGACCACATGCTTCAGGTGGTGTCCAAGCTTGTGAAATCTGGAGCCCAAGGAGCCGGTTTAACCCTGGTGTCCGATTGGACGTATAAACTCAATGTCGCTGGCTGGGGCGTTGGCGTTTTGGGTCTCAGCCAGGTTCACAGTGCGAGAGGCGACTTGCCTGCGACGGAGATGATTCCTGCGGCATTTGCAGTTGGCCCAAAAGAAAATTTCGCCACCATCGCCTCTTCTTTCTCAACTTTCATTGAGTATTACGAGAAGCAAAATGTTGGCCTGATGTCGGTGCTGCGTTATATCCTCATGGACGGGTGTGCAGCCGGGCGCTTGGCGGCAGAGAAGGCTGCTTGGGACGGAATCCAGCATAAGGTAGGCTTACATCAGCTCGCTTGAGCTCACCTGCTCAATCTAGTCCGATGTCTAGCAGTTAATTTTTCTAGGCCAGGTTAGAACAGATCAGATCATATTAGATCAGGTCAGATTAGATCGGGCAAGAAATCAGCATGTGAAGCCTGTGTTCAGCTTTAGGAAAACAAATAACTTGAAGGTTTCATTCATTCCGGTACACAGAATGGATCATAGCATATCGTGACAAGTACATGATGCTGTAGTGCTGTTTGCGCAAACAGTGTATGCTACTAAAAGCTGCGTTGAGCTCATGCCCCTGTGCCAGATCTTTCCGGGTCTCATCCACAAAGTGGACCTGAAGCATGTTATGGATGCCGTTCAGCGCTTAGGGGCCAGTACCACGGGAGGCAAGGACAATGCTTTGTACGTCAAATCCATGATTCACTTCTCGGCGTCTTTGCCAACAGAGATGATGTTTCATGCTTGCTGGGGTGCGGCTTTTGTGGAGTTGTCGAAGAGAAAGGCTTTTGCGCTGATCAAGTATGCGCAACAGCATCTCTTGCAGATGGATTCCAATGGTAGGTGGGTTGCTGCGTGCGCGGCTGGGATCAACGTCTCTGTCCCTGGCCATGGACCACACACGCTGCAGCAATCCTTAGAGCGATTCAATTCGACGATCAAAGGTACGATGCCTGTGGGGTACCACTTGCTATCGCTCAAAGAGATGATCGTCAATTTGGAGCGGGTCATTCGTGTCCACATGAAGAATAACCGACAAGTGTCCGAATGCGAGAAGCAAGTGATTTTCACGCCGAATGACCCCGCAGTGCCACACCCTGGGCTGGTCTCGGCGGACTGGGTGCGGCCTGGTCGTGATGAGCAGGATGTGAAGCTGGTGTTGCCGCCTGTGTGGCGTTTCTTGGAGCACTTGCCGAGCAACTTCCATGGAAGCGCGTTTGCTGGAGCGCTCCAGATATGGGATGTGTTGCGCGTGTACACGTTTCCAGCAACACAGGCCGGCATGATCGTAGACGTGGACGCCCACGAGAAAATGCTTTTGCTCTTCCAGGCATCCACGCCTGAGGCCTTTACAGAGGCTGGGAAAAGGCTCAACCTTTTCAAGCAAGAGAAGGAGCTGGACATGCTCTCGGTTCCTCGACTGCGAACCCTGCTGTCAGAGCTCGTTTTGTGCTTCAAGCTTCGGCGACCGTACTGCGGTTACAGCATTTTGTGCACTTGTCCGTACTTCTGCACGCACGGATCGTGCGCCCACCACTTGTTGTGCCGCTGGTTTGAGAAGGACGGAAAGGTTCAACTTGCAGATATTTCCGAGTTCGTGGCAAAAAATGTCACTCCAACAATTGCTGGAGCCGAAGCAGCGCTCCGCCAACGACTGCTTCCCAGGGGCCTCTTGCCTGATCTATTTCACCTCATCTGAACTGACCCAACCCGACCTGACCTAGTCCCGCCTAACACTTCAGCTTGTATAAGCCCTGAAGCACAAGGACCACTTCTCCGAGAGCTGCCTGCAAAGCAAGCTTGGTCTACGATTGGCCTGCTGGTCAAGCAAGCCAAGGACAGGGCTCTAGCACGGAAACAGTTAGCAGACAAGAAGAAGCAGAAACTGGCTGCCATGTGGGATTCGCCGGGAGCTCGGGACGTCTTGGTGGCTGCGCATGGCAGCCCAAAGGACACGCGTGAAGACAAGCTCAAGCGTGCGGTGGGCAAACTGGAGGGCAAAGACTTCGCGCAGCACATGACGGCTGTCACTCAGATGCTGGACTTGGAGATGTCTTTCCAAGAAGCTAAAGATCTCAACGTCTCAGGTGCCCTGCAGAAAATTTTCAACGATCCTCTCACACACCTGCCAGTGCGAGTCATGGCCAAACAGCTGGTGGATGCTTGGTCAGCGCAGAAGAAGCAGATGCAGCAGACGTCTCCAAGTACTCCTCGCACCGGAACTGCTCGCCCAGGAGGAGCTTCGCCTTTGGCCGACGCAGCAGGGTCACCAGGATCGAATGGGCCAGCGCAGGCCAGCAATGCAAACCAAAACTGAGATCAGGGAAATGCCTGCTTTAGTTTTACAAGTATGATTCTGTTTCCCATTTCAGGAATTGCCGCGGAAGTGAAATATAATGCAGCTTGTTATATTCCGGCAAAAATGTTTTACTTTTGTCCAAATCATGCTGGCTTTCCTGTGGATTAGCAGCGCTTGAGACGCGGTGGCCGCTGGGCACCAGATCAGATCAGATCAGGTCGGCTTGGATCCTCATTCTAAAGATATTCCATTCCTATCCCTTTCAGCTCTCTACATCATTAATGGCATCCGTTGGCTTGAACCTGGCTGAGCTGTGGCCTGCTGGTGTCAGATCAGATTGGATCAGCTCGGGAAGCGCAATAAAAAAGATCATTCGTGTTTCCACCCCCCCCTTCCCCCCTTGAAGGAGTTCGGGTTGAAAATCGTGCTTTCCATGTTGAAGGATGGCTGGCTTCACTTCGTGCATCGGGTCGGGTTTTCTGCTACTGAACACATTTCTGACATCTGAGAGGCAGTCTCGGGCTTCGTAAAGCTGAATGTTGTTATTCGGATCAGATCAGATCTTGCGCAGGTAGTCTAGGTCTTTTGCTGCCCCTGCCTCCTGCTGGCGTCCTGCTTTCTGAATCAGATCCGCATGAAGTAAAGCAAGAGCGTGAAGTTGATGATCGAACTAAACAAGACTTATTCTGTCGCTTGCAGGTTGACTTCGAGAACCTTTGGGCTGACTATGAGGCTGCTTCTGGCATGTGTCTGTTATTTTATGGCTGTGGAAATACAAATGTACCAATCGATCGGCGCACGCTTTGGAACAGGAACACGCACTTTCTTGCATGCGTCCTTTGTTTTCTAGCTTTGAAAATGCGAGATTGCCACCCGATGGGCACAGGCAAGCGAAGCCTTCGAGCGAAAGACTGAACGGGAGTATGTTGGCATCGGCAAGCATTTGAGGTGGGCATCTTGGCAGCAGGCCGAATTATACCAGGAACCTTTCTTGTCACGTGTGTAGCTGCATGCGCGGCACAGCAATGTGGATGTGTGCTGACATGTTTTCCCAGGGTTTTGATGACCGGGGCGCCTATGTTTCCAAGCTGAAGTGTCTTGGATCTGGCTGGCCTCATGAGGTCAGAGTGGATTGGGATGAGCATTGTGGAAAAAAATTTGAGAGTCTTGCGGCCTCGAGCCAAGGAATCCTGACGATGTTCCGGCTTCCGTTAGAGTGGGCATGCGCTTATTGAAAGTGGGGGATGTGGATGTGACAGGCGCCTGGCTCAGTATCGTTTTTATTAAAGCTTCCCAAGCAAGCAGCCACGCATTCAGTCATGGGTTCGGCATTCTGCTCCAGGCATCCCTAAGCAAAACATCCTCGAGCTTTACCGCCAAAATGGAGGCGGTCATGGAAAGACGCTCGTCTGCCTTGCGCGAGCAGTGCCGAACATGTGTTAATCATTTCGCACGATGATGCCGTGTAAGGTTAAAGCTGGATGATCCGCTTCCCGACTTTGAAACCAGGAAAGACAAGAAAAAAAAGAAGGAGCTCTTTGAGGATGATGTCAGATCAGACTGGGTTGTTTTGTTTTGGCCCTGAAACCTCACAGAGTTTTTGGGGGGTCCTGCGAACAGCAACAGGCTTTAGGTTTGAGAGTCTGGGATTTAGGATTTCGAGTTCAGGTTTTGTAGAGCTTTTTTCAAGCCAGGACAAGAAAAAAAAGGACAAAAGGAAGGACGAAAGCCGAAAAAAACAAGGTGCCTGGGGATTCGAGTCCAGGGGTTCATTCTGCACAAACCTCAAATTCGCAGGATTCGGGTTTAGCAACCACTTTCTGGGTGCGGGTGAACGGGTTACCAATGACGTGTGTAGGCCACAACACTGCGGTAAGCACACAAGGCATCAGATGAGCGCAAGCGTGCGACCTCCAGATCCTCGAGCGCAGCCGCTTGGATGGCACAGCCTGTACGTGCTTTTGGCTGATCGCGTGGGTCTTGTTCGTAACCGCCTGAGGCATCGGACAAGTGTGCCACCGCAAGCTCTTCAGTTGCAGCCGCTCGGATATTGAATTTTGTACGCGGTTTTGTTCAGGATGAAAATTTCACGGTTCAGGGTTCAAAGACTTTGGCAAGGTTAGAACAGGTCAGGTTAGCTCAGGTGAGCTCAGCTCAGGTCATGTCAAAACGCGTCAGGTCAGGTGAGGTTAAATTGCCTAGGTCTGACCTTGTAGGTTGAACTCCCTGCGTTTAGGGTAGTGAGCGAAAGCCAAAATACTGAGTCGCTGGCGATCAGTTTATGTGTCTTGGACTGAGGACAAAAAAAAATCGCGTCGCTGCGCACGGCAAAGGCTTTGAAGAGGCGTGCCGATGCGGCCGAAGACACTGTGCCACGTGCACGGTTTCTTCGGCTGGCGGAGCCACCCGAGGCTGACACGCCGATGTTTGCGCCGTGAAGCTTCCAGTTTTTCCGCAATCCTTTTTGGAAGGCACCGATCGAAATTTGTGAGGTTGACGATGAGCGACAGATGCCCCAGGCAAAGACATGAGGGTCCTTGAGCGTGGGGCATTGATGAACTTTTTACAACATTTGCGGTTTCGGTTAGGCAGTGGTCCCTAGCGACGATGCTGTCGACAAGGACGAGGTTGACAAGAACGAGGTTTCTCCGAAGATTATGGTATTTCTTTCTTATATAAATGTAATTGCTTTTTTATTCTAGCAACGATTTTCTTCCAAACAATACCAGGTCCTGAGATGGGCAAAGGCTCTACGACAGCATGCGCAGCCGACGCCGCACCCAGCTGGCTGGACATGCTCGCGCTGCAACTGGACGGGATCCAAGCGCAATAGTCTTTGCGCCACTTGCCGATACAGCACCATGAATATTAAGCTTTCGGCGAAAGATTTGAATTTGCCATTTCCCAGATTGTCCGACGCATGTCCAGGTGCTGGGCGCCACCAAGCAGCACCGTTTCTCGATAGGCGAAGTGATGAAGAATGGCTTGAGGGCTCGCGATCGCGCTTTTGATATTCTCTGGCGGCTCATGAAAGGGTCGCTGGGCTGCAGCCCAGCAATCTTCTGTTGGACTACAATTATTGTAAGCGGGATTATCAGCACAAGTTGAGGAGGTTCACGTCGCAGAACTCAGGCTGTACGTGGTCGGGGCAACGAGCTCAAGTCAGGTCAGATTAGGTTAAGTCAGAGCAGATCAGTCAGGAAGCCTCCCCTGGGAGGGCTCAGATTTATGTGAGGACATCACATTAGATCAGATCAGATCAGATCTGTTCTGCTTAGATCAGGTCGGATTAGCTCCTGCTCTGCCGAGCTGGCCGCTGTTTCTCCACTGCATGCTGGCAAAACATTTCCGCTCTTCTTGTCTTGATATGTTGATAAGCAAGACTAGTTGGGAAGTGCACCTGTGCACGGCCAGGACCGCCAGAGCTGCAATGCTTTCCGCTGCTGCTCCCTGCAGCTAAGAGAAACGGAGCGAATGAAAAGAAATCGTCTGAGCAACGCTCTCTGCTTGTTTCCGGTTTCAGGCGCTTGAATGTGTTTTGGTGCAGGCTCTGTCGCTTTGGTGCGTGTTCAGTTGGTTTGGTGCTTGTTTCGGCTTTTTTGGTGAGCGTAAATTTTTGCGACCATGCTGGACCTGTCAGCTACCATGAGCCGTTTGCAAACAGGAGCACGCTTCTGACTTCTGAACACTAATACTGCGAGACCTGTGCTATTCCTGCGCTTTCTCGTCAACCCTGTGTTCCAGATCACATTTTGCTGACTTGCTTTGTGGCTGATGCTGGACCTGTCAGCTACCATGAGCCGTTTG